GGGCTGCTGCAGCTACCACATCATTCACAAAGCTGTCACGTAAACGAGCCCTACAGGGCGAGACGGTCGCCTCCAACGCCATCCTCCTCCTAACATCCTCCGTCACCTATAGCTGTGTCTGAGTTTCATTGTTAGTCAGACACACACGCTGTGGCTAATTACACACACAGACGCCAATTATATAAAGTATGTTTTAATTTCATCTCTCGACGACACAAACCGACCCTGCACACATTTATAAACAAGTGTGTTTATGCGTCAAATGCATAAACACACAGTTTATTTTTCAAGTTGCAAAAATGAATGAAAATTGAAGGGTTACTTTTGTCCATTTGAAAATCCAAACTTTAAACAGTCGTCCTTTTACTTTTCTTGCAAAAAACAAAGAAATAAAATTTGTCCCCCATTTAACGCCCTTATGTACCATTAGGGGTCAGCGTACCCGCAGTTGGGTACACTTTTTCACCTTCCATTAGCGTCTGTTTTGTTTCATTTTTAGCAGTTCAACGATCCGTCTTTCAAACCAGTAAGTGGTCCATGCTTTTCCCCAATGTCTTACCCTTTATTACACCCTGTCATTGTTAGAAAGACTGACCTTTTTCCTCAAATTGCATCGTGGGTAATTGGTGTAACAGCAGGTTTCCTTTTAATTCTCATTATCATCAACAAACCTGATTGATTTTCTATTAAATCAATGGGTTGTCTTTGGTTTGTACGACGTACCTCTGCAACTGAGTGAATGTTTTAAACCAAAAAGCTGTTTCTGTTTTTTAGGTTGTAACGTCCTTTCCTTGGCCTGAAGGAGGTGCTAAATCGTGATTATAGACGACACGGCATAGGCACTTATCACCAGGTATGTTATGGGCCAACTAGCATCTAGCATGTTAGAGGGTGTTATATATAGTAGAGTATTGACCAAGGCTATATGTCAAGTTAACCCTGCTACGTCCAGAGTTTTGCTTCTTCTTTTGTATCCTCCTGCAGATCTAGACTTAGTCACAGCTGCAATACTGCCACCTCCTGGGTCTTCTGATACTGTCAACTGTTAGCCAGCGGAGGTCATTGATTAAGTGAGGGTATATCACCTACGAAAAGCAAAGGAATTGACTGTGCCCATGTGACGCTTTGTAGCTTTTGTAATGCTGACTATTAACCTTTCTGGAGGCCAAGAAGTCCATCCCACGAGCCACCTGGAAGCTGTAGCAAATGAGATCTTCTATTGTCAGAGGAGTTTTCCACAGGTCCTCCACTGGAGAGAGGAAGAAGAGAGGTGGAAGGAGGAGAAAGGGAGCCGTAATGAGAGAAAAATCCAATTTCCACTTTCAGCTCTTAACATGTTGGGGATCACGGAGGAGTTGACCTCCAGGTTGAGATATTCACACACAAATACACACACACGGAGACCTGAGGTCTACTTCAGTGGGTTTCACTTTCTCCACAACCATTTTCAATGATGTAACCATCACAATATTGTACTCTGACACTCAAACAGACCAAAACATTTTTGGTTCGTTGGCCGTTCGTGATGGATAATTCATGTTAAATATGTTCAGCTCTACCTTATCTTGTTAGGGCTTATTTAAAAATGGAGGTACGCATACCACCATTTAAGAACTGAACCTCTGTTCACCATCCAATGATCCATTTTGCATCCCTACATAAAGAGTTCTGCCACTGTGTCGACAGACACAACATGGACTCACTTTTGTCACCCGCAGGTTTCTGAGTTACGGTGTCCGGTGAGGAGGACGGAGGCGGTTGGTTACGAGTTCTTTGGTCTGTCTGACCTGCTTCGATCATCCTCCTGACCTGACTCTGAGTCTTTGGAGAACGATCCTGAGAAGAACAGAACGAGAACAACTGGAAGGCAGGCAGGAAAATATAAATAATAAAAAAACAAAAACAAAAGAAAAAAAACAAAGGCTCATGAGACCTGATAAAATATTTGTAAAATTAAATTTGGCTCATGAGACCTGATAAAATATTTGTTAAATTAAATTCATTTTATAGAGATCATTTTATACCCTATATGGGAGGAAAAACTCTCTCTTGGCTCGGAGGAAGTTGGACAAGTTCCCATATTTGCAGTATTCCACGATCACCATCAGCGGACCTGGTGACACACACACAGACACACACGTTCTTGTTTGTTCACAGCAGTGTGGTGCGGAAATGAGGCTACAAATCATCTGGCTTGATTAAAACGTTGGAATGATTTCTGCTTCTTGATGAAGAGCTAATTTTTTCCCCCTCAAACACCGTTCTTATTCATGCGTCTACTTGCCAGCTGAGATGATTGGCCTTTTTTTTGGGAAACAGGAAGAGCCATTTCACAAACTCACATGTCATAAATTATCTATTGCATTACTTCATTTTGGGGTGGGGGGGGGGGTGGGGGGGTTGTTTATCAGCTTGATGTGAATTGATTTTAAAACAGGTCTGAGTGAACAGTTGTAAACGCAATGATGTAAAGACTTCATTCTACTAGAAACTGCCCCGAAGGAACAGCAAACAACAGCACAGACTTCAGTCAGACTGACGTGAGTCAAACTTCACTAGTCATTTTTATGGTTTAGCACCCAAATTTGTTAATTCGGGATTGAAACCCTCATCTCGAAGTGGATTAGTTAACGCCCACTTTGCAGTGTTCACCCAAATGTGGAGCAAAGCTGGCAAAACTAGCTATGCTGCACAGCGAATATTGTATAAAACACTGTGGTTCAGTTAATTCATGTTGCGCATTTGTACACACACAAACGATGAACAAAACTAGTTTCGCTTCACAGCTAACGCTGTATTCAGTGCCAGTGTAATTCATGTTGCGCATTTGTACACACAAACAATGAACAAAACTAGTTTCGCTGAAAACATTATCTGATATTAGTTTAAATTTCAGATATAAAATCCTGCTACAAAATTCACATACAATCTTTGGTTTTGTGACTTTTTTTATGCCCATGCACAGCTGCGTGTTTTGTATCACGTTTGTGTTGATCATCAGACCAAAGGTATAAACACCTTTATACTGTCATAAGTCTCAGTTCAAATAAACGTTCACCCAAAAATCCCAAAAGAAACAAAATGCAGCAAAAACCAAACAACCATGAGCACAGAGTAAAACATGACACATGCATCAGCCAAACGAAGACAAGTGAGTGGAGAGGCACATCTATATAAACACAGGGGAACAGGTGTGAGTGATGAGGCTGATGGTCAGAGAGGCAGGTGTGAAGGGTGAGGCTGATTGCAGGTAAAGATTGACAGGTGGCAAAGTGACACGGACTGAGACCCAGTCTGCAGACGTCAGCTGCACCCTGACCAAGACCTCAGTAAGAAGAAAAGGTCAGAACTGGAAATATAAACAATAAACTACACAGAGAGCTCATTAAAAACACACTGGACACAGAAGTGAGTGACTGAAACAACACCACATTATTATTAGTTCCTCCTCCTCCTCCACAGACTCGCCTTGGATGTTATCGTTTCACATGATAAACGTGTCCATCATTCTGGAGTGGTCTGATCACATGACATTTTTTTAAATAGCTCCAAACTTTGTTCTCTGCAAAAATATTCTTCTTCACTGATTAGCTCACAGATAAGTGCTGTCTACTGCTTAGTCCTAATCTCTTGAGTTCTGTGTGTGTGAAACTGGTATGGCTACACTTGTGGGGACACTGGGTTTTAGGACAGTGTTTTGGAAGCAGTGTTATAGGGACACTCAGAATAATGAGGACATGTTTTTTGGCAAAAAAAAAAAAAGCTTGATTCAATAAAAGTAAAAGTTAGGACGAGGAGTTAAGGGATGCATTACGTCGACGTGAAGTGATCACAAAACACTAAAGCCAGTATGGGTGTGTGAGAGTGTGTTATCTTCTTCTACTGTCACGATCTAATGCGCCACAGAGTTTTGCTGATGATTTTTTTCTTTTTAGAATTTAATTATAAGAAGAGGAGAAGTGAGTTGCAATCACATTTTATTTTTCTCTCGCACATTTTTCTTTTTTGTGATAACGTCTCATCCATGTTGTTACTGAATGTAATAACGCCTAAAAACCATGGCTACATCTAGACCCAGACACAGTATATACATAAATATAAAAAACCATGGCTACATCTTGACCCAGACACAGTATATACATATATATATGTACAAGTATATAACGGCATCATTAAGGTTAATGTAATCGTTGCCAAAATACAAACAAAACTGTGTCAAATTGAAGGCTAATATACAGAATATTTGCTGAGAAAAGACAGGCGACGTTTCTGTAGCATCATTATGTCTTTACAGCAGATTATCTTCAGCCTCTGAATCCACAATTATGCAACTGACCTTTGACTTGCATACTGTATTGTATCACTTTCCTGTTGCTAAGTGGAGCAAATTGCACTTAGCAACAGTGGATTTTTCTCTTTTGGGATTGTGATTCTTCTTCTTCAACAATATTGACGAAGTCGATCCTTTTGAACTGCTACATTAGTATTTGACAATAATAAAATTAAAATTAAAAAAGTTAGAATTAGCGCTGCGCTAGCTAATGCATTACTAAAAATTAGCATCAACTAATAGTTTTTTGCACTTTATCATAGTCTTTCTCGCTAACATTTTTACTTTGAACATTTTGCATATGCACAGTTCTGGTTTAGGATTGGAACCATCAAGGTGAAAATGTATGATTACATTTTATATGGAATTCTTTTCTAACTGTGATGTTTAAAGTTAATTGAAATGTTAAATGATTTAAGATTTGGAAAATTCTCTTTAAAGTATAAGTTTCAAAATTCCTACATTCACATCCAGTAGAGCTGTCAGTGGCTTCACTTCCGGGCTTGAATCACTAAGATTAGCTTTTTTTTTTTTTTTTTGTAACACGTTGTGTAAGTAGTGCGACAGGGAATAAAGTGGAGAGCTACTACAGGCCGCAAATGGTACTTCAATAACAAGTGCAGTTTCGGAGAGATAGAGCGGCTTAGGAAAGGCTGCTTCAGCATCTGGAGTGTTTACAATTTTATTTGAGAGGCCTTCACCGCAGGCAGCGTCTTTCAGCCTCTACAGGAGGCTCAACAAGCCACTGTGTCTATGGTGATTCAGAGCAAACATGTTTACCTGTAGGCCATCACCCGAGCACCTGTGTTTGAATACGCAACAGATTCATCTGTAATGTTAAAACACTTATGGGACGTTATTTACAATTCAGAAGAGAGAACGGGAGTTAGACATTTGAGTTGCCATTAATCCAGATCCTTAATCCTGATTAATTCATTTGGGAACTTGATTAAATACATTCTTTACACAGTCAAACATATGGGTACAATGATGGGCTACTGTCCATCCAAAAATTCCACCATCCACCCACGCATGATCGCTCTACTAACACAGTTGACGCTCATGTAATTTGCACACACTGTTGGGAGTTTTTGCTCTACTAACACAGTTGACGCTCATGTTGTAATTTGCACACACTGTTGGGAGGCACTTTTTTTTTCAAATTAACCTAAAACACAATTCACTGAAGTATTAAAAACTGAAAACTATTGACCTGTTCTACTAGCCACCGTTAAGTACGCACAGTAAAGTTTAAAAACCACAAAATATTCACCACAATCTTGAAGTATTTTTCTTAACATTTTCCATGGTCTTTCATGGTCTGTTTGCTGTAACAAATCCCATGTAAAAGCAACAGTTTCCCAGTTAACAACTTCCATTTTCCTACATATATTGTGTATACTCTTTTGTATACCCTGTGCACTGCTAAAGTCAAGCTTTTTTGACCTGCGTAGCCTTTGGTATCCTGGTGTTTAGTGTCATTTGAACATGTGTGTGTGTGTGTGTGTGTTTACACACCGTTTGGTTTGGTGCAGGCTCCCAGCAGGTTGACTACATTCAGGTGATTACCGATGTGAATCAGTATCTTTAGCTCCGACATCAGGGCCTTGTGCTCACTGGCTGTGGCTCCATCTGAACCAGAAACACAGCAGGTCATCCACAGGACGTGAAATAAAAATATATTTTTATTTTCTTGTTTATGGTCAAGAGTTTTGGTGTCACACTGGCTGCACTGCATGTGCACAAACTACTGTTTATCAAAGTTGTTGAGTCCACCTCACAGCCGGGCACCGGCCTCCCCCAGCGCTCATGTACAATTCAAATAACACCGAGACAAATCTCACCCTTCAGCATTTTCACAGCCACCGTGTCGGGGCCGCTGCTTTTGCTGATGCCGTGGATGGATGCTTCAATTACTTTTCCAAAGGCACCGGGTGCCAAAACATTCCCAGGAGAAAGAACAGGAAGGGAGAGAAAAACAACACAGTTTGATCAATGAGAGGTTGCTCTTAGTGTCACTGTGAAAAGACAAGTTGCTGCGGTAGACAGTGCCACAAAATGTAAATGTATCTGGAATCAATACAGACAACGAGAAGGAGTTATAACCTGAATGGCAACGTTTGGAGAACAACGCGTTACCATGATTAGTCGTCGTGTAACTGCTCCGTCCACTTCAGGGGTTCTTTTTCTTTTTACTGTGCCTGTGTTTTTTTTTTATTTAGATTTAGAAATTTGCTCCCTGTTCTTTCTACACTACTATGGAATTTCCAAAAGTTTTAAAAGTAGTAGAAGTTTTTTCAGCGAAACTTTTGCACCGCAGTGATCGTGTCAGACTCGACATTTAACACCACACGATCTCATGCTGCCCTTGTTGCGTTAGAGGCTGAGCTACAGTCGTGTCATTGTTTTAACAAGCTAGGGGGGAAAATAAAAAGTAGTTTATTTTGAATCATTTCCTAAACTGCCCACAGCACAATTCAGTCATTAAGTGTGGACTGCTCGCTGGCTAGCTCGCACTTCTCTTTGTTCATTAAATTAAATAGTTACACAAACAAACAACCAAAGGAAAAGACAATAACCATACAAGCCAGAAACGATAAAAGCCTAGAATCTTATTCGTAGTTTACATAAAAATGGGAAAAAATGCCACAGACTATTTGTCTCGACACTGGTGGCTTTCAGATGTTTTTACTTTTTACTAACTCACAAAACATTTGGCCTTTAATACCGCTTCCACGCTCAATCCTGAATCGACTTCCGTGTTAGTTAAAAAGGAGCGAGTGTGCATTACTTTCAGTGAGAAAACGGCAGAAATGTCATCACTCTGATCAATATTAAAATACAGAAACAGAGGCCTAAGGATTATTATCATTCCTAAAACAACCCTTTGATACATGGAAATCAGGTTGTACATGACCATGGGTACACGAACCATAGTTTAAAAACCAGTGATCTTGATGTCACATTCACAAACAAACTAAAATCACCAGCTCGTTTCCAAAAGCGCTATCAATAAAAAGTGGTTCTGTTTTTCTCAACTCAAGTAAGCCACCCTTCCCCGCTGCTCACTGCTTGTAGACTTCCACTGAAGGGACGTTCTCTGCATCATTTATCCAATCGTTTTCTAGTCCCTGCAATAAAAAATATTGCTCCGTCGAGCTGCGACAGGGACTAATGAAAAGTGAAATGAAATCACATCAGACCAACTAATAAACAGACGATTCTGAACAAACAAGTTGTTGATTGTGTTTTAATGCAATTTAGGAAAGGAAATTTTTATTAAACACGATTTGTGAGAGGATTAATTTTATGCCGTTTTAGAGGATCTAAATTCCCCTCACGCACACCCCCCACCCCCCCCCCCACCCAGCCATCCCTCAGTTCACCCATGTTCTTTCTCAAATCATTTCCAGCTGCTCACCAAGTCGGAGTCTGTCCCTGGAGATCTCCCACTGCGAGGAGTCGTAGGGCAGGTATTCACACTGCTCATCCAGAGGCACCTCCACTGGGTCCATAATGATGGACAAATAGCCCGTCTTTATGTCTGCGGGGTTAACCTGAGGGGCAGGAGAGCAAAGAAAAGGAGCAGTGAGGTGCAAGGTAAATATATAGGACTGAGGTGAAAATAATGTTTTAGGGATGAGGCGGGAATGAAAGAGCGAAAACTCATCTGTTTGACTGAGAGTGCATGAAATAAATAAAAAAAACACACAGGAGAAAAGTCATCGATGTTGGAATCCAATAATAAGAATTTAGAGAAAACAGGGATGTGACGAAGGAGGGAAAAAAGCAGCGTGAGGCTCATTATTGGCACCGATTGCAGTATTTGTGAGGAACCGAATTCCCTCAAAGAAGATGTTGAAGAGCTCTCTCTGCAGTCCATGATTTACTCCTGAGATCAGACAGGTTGTGCTTGCGTGCTGACAACCGTACTGCAGTCCAGAGGTTTGAGCAACTCAATTACAGTCATAACAGTTTGTCACCAAAAGACAGGAAAAGATTGTCTGACCCGTTTCACGTTGCAGAAAATGACAAGGAGCATGGCCCAGAAGAACACGGCGATGACTCCAGTCCCGATGAGAATAACAATCTCCACGTTGGCCTTGTCACTTGAACCTTGACAAAACAGGACATGCAGGATTATTTATGGAATACTAAAATGATCCGGAGATTTATCAAACAGGAAAGTTCTTCTTTTTTTTTTTTTTTTTTTTTTTTGGCTGAATGTAAACAAAATTTGATAGTGGTTCCTTCAAAACATTACAAAAAAAAAGTTGTGTCGGACACATTCTGGAACATTCCATTAGGTTAGCTAGAAACAGGTTTCAAGGAGTGGGTCGTGGCTCACTACATGGTACAAAACCTCTGAATTAGGGTCGTGGCTCACTACATGGTACAAAAACTCTGAATTATTTTGCAAAATTTGCAAAAAAAAAAAACATGTTTCTCAGCAGAATTAGTTAAAAGAGTTAAAAAAAACTCTGTGGTGATAGGGTTGCCAGTTTGAATCCCAACCCTGTAATAACACATTACAGATTTGGTACCAAACACGAATGTGGTTTGTATTCACTCTCTTTCCCAGCCGTGTCGGCTGATGTAAAAAACTTTTCATGCAGGTGTTCGACCCAGCAGGTCAGTCCAGGTTAGAAGGCGAGTATTCACCTCATCTGTTATGCCTTAGGCAAAATTACTAAATTATTCATACTTCATATAAAAATCTGCCAAAAGTTGATAAAAAAGATTCAGGTGCAAACCTACACAGCCTGAGCTGAAAGGCTCCTGTGATTTCAAACTAAAGACACGACTCGGGTGTTTACACTGAAGTCTTTAACATGGTGTTTTAATGTGTGTGTGTGTGTGTGTGTGTGTCTCACCGATGACCTTGACGGCAGCTGTGGAGTGGACACATCCACGCTGGTTGCAGGCGGTGCAGGTGTAAAGACCGGCATCTTCTTCTCGTACCCGCTGGATACTCAGAGTGCGGTTTGAATCCTGCAGCTGGATCCCTGCAAGGAATTATGGGATGACACACACACACACACACACACACACCTGCTGTGAATGGATGTGACTTCCTGTCACTTCTTTCCATCTCACTTCATAAATCCAACAACATCTTTGCTAATGTTTCTCTAAGTCCTGTCCCCCCCCCCCCTCCCACACCCCCCCACATGTTAAGCAACAGCTGTCACTCAAACCCACACTGACCCCCATTCCCCTCACCCCCCTCCCTCTCTCACCTCCTGATGTAAAAACCAACGAGCCGTTTCCACTGCCCCGCAGGCTGTGTGTGTGTGTGTATCTGTGGGTGGGAGTGTGTGCACTGTTCTTTTTTTTTTTGGGGGGGGGGGGGGGGCACTTAAGCATACACGTCTTGACATGTGTGTTCAATACAGAGTGTGTGGGTGAGCGAGTGGGTGGTTTTTCTGGTGCTTTTCTGTAACGTATGTTTCCATATATCATATGTAAAATACGACGCGTACACGTCCAGGGTTGACAGAGTACTGGTACTGCAGTTCTCCACGTATTTCATAAGAGTCAGAATCTCCAAAACCTTTTCCAATATATGAATATATAATATTTAACTGGATGTTGAAATGGTATTTTAAGCTCAAGGTACTTTGGCGAAACTAAAACTTTTTTTTTTTTATTATTCAAATGACAACGTGTGTATTGACTTTGTTTGTCAATCTGAAAGATTTCTTTTTGAATTATACAAACTTTTTTTGGGGGGGGAAATTACATCAGAAAGTTCTGGGAAAGTTTGACAGTAAAGGAGTGTGATGAAACAAACACGTCGTGCTAATTTAAGACACGTCATAACAAACTTTTTCCTCTATGTGTGTGTGTGTGTGTGTGTGATATGTGTGGGTTCTTGGCAACCAATGGGCTACACTGTTGTGTAAACCAGCATCGCCTTCGTTGACATATTTATGCACCTGACATTTGGTGGAGAGGCTGGTTGTCTTTGAACCAAGAGAGGCGGGGCAGAGGTCTGCCCTCCACGTCGCACTCCATCCGCAGAGACTCGGTCACGTTCACCGTCTGGTTGTTGAGGCTGCGTTTGTACCGAGGTGCCTCTATGGCTGTAGGGAGGGGAGAAAGAGGCCAACATGCACTGGTGTGATCAGTACAGAATCCACTGCCGTACTAAAAATGCATACGGTATTTATTGAAAGGTCTCACAGAACTGGAGAAAGAGCAAAAGTCAAAAAAATCTCATTAAATTGAACATCTCTGCTTCAGGCACCGACGCAAGATTACAAAAACGTAACATAAATGAAAAATGATTTGTTTGGGTTTTGTACGACCCTGCAGCGCCTCCTCTCTGTCAGCCCGCATTGGGGCTTCACGATCACTGGTTTCTCTGCCCATTACGTTCAGAAATGGGTCTGAGTGTGTGTGTGTTTGTGTGTGTGTGTGGGTGGGCACTTCTTTGTAAATATGTTTTATTGTTCAGCCTAGGGCTCCTGAGCTCCACAATGTGATTCCACTGCCAAAGGTTGAGTTTCTCTCTAGAATTAGCTGAGACTGCAGCGTCTGCTCTCCTCTGTTGCTGTTGGTGTTGAAGTGTTGGACCGTTTTCATCTCTCACCTTTGACTGATATGTATCTGAACAGACACTGTCTGTCTCCCTCATGTCTGCTCTGAGCCCCGCACACGTAGTGACCCTCGTCCCGCAGCTGTATGGAGGTGACGGTGAAGTCCAGGACCCAGCTGTTGGACGGATCCTTGAAGGAGAGCTGAGCGTCAAGCCTGTCAGCATAGAGGTGGACACTTCTGCAGTCCAGCTCTCGGGGCTTGCCCTGCTCGTCCTGCAGGCTCTGAGGATCCAGGCGGTACCACTGCAGCTGCTCGTAGGTATAATTGTCTGCGCTGCAGACGAGGGACACTGTCTCCTGCTCCAGGGGATTCTCTGAGGGCTGCACGTCAACGCTGAAACCTTCGGGGATCGCTGTAAAGATACAAAGACAACGCGGGTGACGTTTATAAGAACCTAAATATTACGTGCTCTTCTCCTGCTTCCTGTTCCTACTGAACAGTGAATGTGACGTCTTTATCAGCAGCTCATTTTTGGTTTAACAGCTAATCTTTCTTCGTGGCTACTGAACAGTAACAATTTAAAAGGTCAACGGTGATGGGAGTCGTTTACGGCTGTGATTACGCATTTTATCTGGTCCTGATGAAATGGACATAAGTCTCAAGTCGTCCATATGTAAAACACCAACACAAGACCTGAATGTCTTTAAACAAATATGGGTCGTACAGGAAAATACGACAATCCTGGTGATGTGTTATCTAACAATATGGGTCGTACAGGAAAATACGACACTCCTGGTGATGTGTTATCTAACGTTCCAAGTAAATGAATCCAAATGTCAGGTCTTAGCCATATCTGTGCAATTACAAATCCTGGCATGAGTGTCTATTTCTGCTGTTGGCTAAAACATCCAACCAATCATCACATTAAGACACAATTTAAAATAAATCTTATCTTTCCGAATATGAAATGCCAACGCTGCTGGGACTCTCTCATCACCTGCATACTTACTTGTTACGTAGAAGTAAATCAGCCGCTCATCTTTGCCAACCTTGTTTTCGGCAGAACACTTGTACAAGACGGATACGCTGGCGTTACGAATCTGCAGCCTGCTGACTGTCTGTGGGGTGAGAGAAGGTGGGCGAGACGCTAATTCAACCAGGATGATGAACAATGACACCATTACATACATTCATACATAAATACTATGGATGGCTCCATCCGATACTCAGGACCGACATTGGTCCGATGTTGGTCAAAATCTCACTTGACTGAGACCCTTAAGTTTAATATAAATAAACTAAATAAGAAATTCTCTACAGGTCCTTCCATTGGACCCCCACTCCCTCCCCTTTATCACAGGTGCTAAAGCACTAGTCTGGATTGTGATTGGGCAGTTTTTACACGGCCTTTTCTGACACAACCCAACCTGGGAGTTGGGGTGTAGGCATCATCATCATCATCATCATCATCATCATCATCATCACAGCCTTCCGGCGTCAGGCAGAGGGGGAGGGGAGGGAGTCATACCATTGCATAACTCTAGCCCCTGATGTCGTCACTGAACGAAAGAAACGTCAGAAAAAGTAAATGCTCGACCAATAATCAACCTTTTGTTTCCCGTCGACAACTTTGACCGATGTTTCAATGGCCTCGATTTCATTCATCGTGTTTTCCGTGTTGACGTCCTGCCAGTCCTGACAGTCCGTGATCACGTCGCTCTGTCGACCCTGCTGCTCTGGTCGAACCCTGGAGGAGACGCAGAGAGAAAAAGAAATCATCACATCGCTCCTCTCATCAACATGCAGAGAGCAGAGCAGTGGGGTAACATTTTAGCAGCAGATCACACCAGACATCCTGAGGTTTTTATGAGTCTCTTTTTCTCACATTCTCCAGATCGTATTTCACATCACTGTGTCAGCTTGCAACAAAAAACCCAGGCAATTATACTCTGAGAACTAATGGAAAAAAAAATACAGAATCCATAGCCATTACGTACACACATCCACAGTGTGACCATCTCAGTAGAACTAATGAAACATGAAATTAAATGTGGTTTTGCATTTTTTTTCCCATAAGGGCTCGGTGTTTTTTCCCATTTTTTTTAATTAATTTTCTATGTATTGTTAGAAAAACAGTGTGTTTTAAAAACAGATTACACATTTTTACATATGCATCAAAAATCAATTTAAAAAGGCCAGATGTTATTTTCACAAATATATGACCTCACTTGCATATAATATATAGTCCATATATAGTATATATATGTAGAGTATAATAATATAGTCCATATAATTGAATTGAAGCATAGCAATTTAATTTAGTAATTAATAATATAGTCCATATAATTGAATTGACTCATAGCAATTTAATTACATTTTTATGAAAAACATAATTTAGGAGAAAAACAAACAGATCATAACAATTCAATTTTTTTTTCTAAACCACCAAAAAGTAAAAATTCACTTCTTATATAAAAGGTCACGCCTCTGTGGAAGTCAGTTTATTGTCCTTTAAGATGTCCACACAGACAGGGCATGGACCGGACCTGTCAATGTCTCCAAAAACAAGAAGTGGCGCCGTGTGTCTGCACTCGTGATTCACGGACCAGAACAGTCAGGAAAACAGCAATAACTAAAGAAATTGGGCCTTGGAGGGAGACGGGGGAGTCAGGTGAATATTAGGGTAATACTCTGCCGGCGCGGACGTAAAAACCCCAGCCTTAAAAGATAATAAGAAATAACAGAGTCTACTTTATATCCATTAAATCCACTCTATTGTATTTTGACATTCAGAAGAAACGGGAAAGAAGTGAAAAAGCCAAAGGCAAGTCCTGACAATAAGGGACTGTGTGTCTGAGTGTGTGTGGGCGGTGTGTGTGTGTGTGTGGGTGTCTGGTATAGCTGTAGTTATGGGGACATTTTAATGGCAAAGTACCTGCATTCGCTGTAGTTATGGGGACATTTTAATGGCGAAGTACCTGCATTCTGGGGAAATGTGTCATTGTGGGGACATTTTGATGGTCCCAACTGAGGGACAGATTATTTTGAGGTTAAAGATTTAGTTTGAAGCTGGGATTAAAATCTGGATGAGATTAGAGTCAGGATAAGGATTAGGATTGGGTTATTATTTATATATTTCTAACAGCTAGGATTGGGGCAGGGCTGCTGTTTGTGAAGTGCTCACAAACACAGAAAACCAGTGTGTGTATGTGTGTGTGTGAGTACACTTGTATGCTAATTTCTGCTTCTGTCACTGCCTCCAAAAGACGGCACCCAATGACAAAGAGCCGAAACCTAATTTCTCAGGTTCCAAAGTAGCAGTTCACAAAAAACCCAATGCAGAGTCCTAACAAGAATATCTCTGCAAATGTCTGCTTCACAAAAAGAAAGTAAGGACGAGAGTCTGAAAGAGTGAAGGTGAGCACTGAACCGTGGCCGACGGTCTGGCCGTGAGGAACAGCTTTGACCTTTAGAAGGCTTTTCTATGTTTTCTTCTTCTTTCTTAATCTTTGCACCTTTTGTCCGTCCATCTCCTCTCTGTGTCCTTCTTCTAACCTTGTAATTTCTCACAGACCGCTTTCATCACTCGCCCCCTCAAATAGTAACATTTTCAACCAACTGAATCTGACTTTTCAGTCTTTTGCTCCATTTAATCCAAACTCTACATTGGCTACAAGTAAGAAAGAAAGAAACTGGAGAAGTAGGAAAAGTTTTTTTTCCGTTTTTTTCTTACTGCCTGCTGAGAACACAGGGACCCCAGGGCCTCCACTGCCAGCTGATGTTGGGAGCTGGGAGGCCATAGGCGGTGCACGTCAGAGTCTGGCTGCTCCCACTGGGATACGGACTGGAGGGCTCGGCCACTTCCTTTTCGTGAATCTGTGGAGGCACTGGAGGAGAGGAGATGTGGTCAACGAGTCTGTTTTTTTTTTCCACACCACCTGACTTGATTTGATTCAAACTAAAACAGTATTCACCATTTACTACAAGTGTGATGTTGAGCCTCCTCTCCAGTGCAGCAGCAGTGTTCCTCAGTGCCACGGTGTACAGGCCAGCGTCCTCCTGGTAGACCTCCTTGATTTCCAGAGCATGGTTCAGGTGAACCCTCATCCTTTTTATCTTGAACTCTGGCCGCTGGTTTATTACCCTGCCCTCTTTATACCTGGACACAGACAAACACAGCTGCTGGTACACCGAGGAGCTTCTGCCCTTTAATTAGAACCAAAGTCTCCGCAGCAGGAGGTCCGTGGGTCGCTCCGTGGGTCGCTCCGTTCTTACCATTGTGTTTCAGGGCTGGGGAAGGCCGACACGTTCACGTTTAGTTTGAAGGACTTCTGTCCAGCAGTTACCTCCACCACTGGTCCAGTTCTGTAGTCAAGGCTGATGAATGGTCTTTCTAGAAGAAGTCAAAAGTAAAAACTACTAAAAATGAGAACGTGAAATATAATATATATTCTGCAAAGAAGGAATTCTCAGATGGGAATCTGGACTTCACTTCAGGTCTTAGCCCATGTACACACAGTAGATCCAGGTTTATTAATAGCTCTATTGACGTGGCATTTAGTTGAATTGATCAGATGGATTAGCTGGGCTGCGGGTCATCTCCTACCCTCAGCTAGCGCTCACCGTGAACTATGACCTGCGTCTGTTGTGTGAGTGTGGTGTCCGTGCTGGTCACGTTGCAGACGTACGGCCCGGTGTCTGTCACATTGACACTTTGGATGGTGAGGACGCTCACAGCCTCTGTGGCGTGAGACAGAGCTTCACGGTGAGGCTTGGTCTCCACGCAGCTGTTCGTCTGCTGGGAGGAAACAGACACCTTAAAAACAAGTTGTTTTTTTGTGGCAAAAACACTTTTTTTTACTGCTACGTGCCTCTTTGCCAGGGTAGGACCACCGAATGTCCACCCCGGCGTTGAACTCCACCAGAGCGGTACAGTTCAGGGTGAGAGTGTCCCCCACCAACAGCTCCACCGGGTCCTCAGGAAACAGCTTGACATCATAAACCTGACTTCCTGTTCAGAGGGGAGGACAAAACAGGAGTGAGGGGAGGAACAGAGGGACGGAGGGAGGGAGACCGTAAGAAAGGTCGAAGCGACATTGTCAGCGGTTTTTCCTTCCTCACCCGAGCAGAGGAAATTACCAGAGGAGCCATCCCATAACTGCAAATAGTTGTCTGTCAGTGGTGTATACCGCTGCCATTCTTCTCTTTGTACAGTAAGAGGAAATCAGAATAAAACATACAGGAGCCTGAGTTCAAGATAAGACAGAAAAGCCAGGAAAGCTTTGGACGGCGTCCAGCGTTTCTAGTATTTCAGTCGTAGCGACGCAGTAACGGTGGCAACTGTTTATATACTTCATTACCGCGAGCATTAAAGCCTTCACTGAGAGTTGTTCTTTTTGTACTGAGACCGTTTTGATCTAGAACATCAAAGAATAAATCATCACATCATCAGCGTAAGCTTTTGTAACATGTCCCGCTCTTTTATGTTCAATGACGCTTTGATTTGTTTTTAAAAATGATTTCATACTTCACTATTCCGTTTCACTGCAGGCATGTTTGAAAATCCAACATGTTACTTTAACAGAAGAGACGACGGCATAAAAAGAAGCTCATTCTGAGTTAAACCAGGGGACGAATTATAATAAATGATCAAAATTTCATGTGGATTTTATGTGTGCAGTCATTGAAGCCCTTAAATTTTGTCATTAAAAAAGATGAATGTATGATTTAAAACTCAGTTTCCCAAAAGGAAATTAATATTTATTATATTATTATTTTATATATATATAGTTATATTGTAATATTAGACTATACCACAGTTAACACAGTTTGTGTTTTTATGTTCTGTTATTGTTGAGACTGTATTGTGTATATTCATGGGGTCTGAGGGTCGTGACCCAGTCTTTGGGAAAGAATGATTTAGAGGAAGTGAAAGAGCTACAAACGATTAAAAATATTATTATGCTATAAATACTTTAATTGATTTTTTGACTGATAATAATAATTTAATTTTTTTACCCGTCGTGTGAATCAAATAGTTCGCAGATTGATATTCTTTTCCATCCAGGATCGCGACACACAAGAGTCCGATGAGCATGGGCACACTGTCTATGATGTCTCTGGGAATGGACCAACCGCGCTTGTTGCTCCATGTCATCCCACTCCCTTCCAGGACCATGGAATACTGAGATAACACACACACACACACACACACACACACAGAGGAAACGCCGATAAAACAAGTCAATAAAAAGCAGCAGAGCAGGGAGAACGGTTACACTGTGATCGCTACAAACCGTATGGAGTGTGACGTTCAGGTCGGGCACCGTGACCAGACACGGCACGATGACGTGTGTGGAGAAACGGGTGATTAAGATGGTCTCCAGGTCATTTTCAGGGTCCGTGCCGTGGCCGCCTCTCCTGAGGAACGGCTGCTCTGGATCTGAATGCAAAAAAAAAAAAAAAAAGAAGCAGGGAGTTGATAAAGAGTAACTCGGCCTGCAGCGCAGATAATGACGGGTATTAGTGAGGTTACTTCATGACCCTCAGGACATGGGAGTCTGATAATGACTTCGCTTTATCACCATTATCCTGCAGTGGTGGAGCTGCTCACTCCGTCCTCCACACAGTAAGTACATAAGAACTGCTATTCAACGTCAGCTGGAAAAAAGGAAAAAAAAGAACCTTCTTTGTCCAGTTTCATCCTTTAACTCCTGCTGGTAGAATTGTTTTCTATCCTTTTTGATTCTCACTTCATTGTTAAAGGGTCACAGCTTCTCACAGATATAAGGAACACAACAGAACTATCATAATTTCTGCTCTACGTCTCCCACCAAAGAAAACATCATGTTCCCGAAGCAGGTGTGAGAAGTGAGCAGATGTTTGGAGAGGACAGTTTGGTCACTTCTCTTTCTAACTCTGACTACTGTTACTGTTCTGATAAGACTTCTCTGACTCCTGTCTTTTTTTTTCCTTTGCTTCATTTTAAGCCACTGCGAGGGCGAACAAAGAGTCGTGTCCATCAGGACACGTAGACCACGTAGTTTTGGTAGTAGACCAATCTGAGATGTGACAGAAATAATGTAAGTCTGGTAAAAGCCAGGTTTGAACAATGAGTCTCTGTCAGTGACACACAGCAATCATTTTGACAAGACAGAAAGTCCAGAACCGGGTCAGGAGGAAGACAGAGGATGGACCGTAGGTGGGAGGAAAAGATCATAAAAAGGAATAAATGACTGAAGAATTCCTTTTTGAAGAAAGCAAATAATTATTAATAAATAAGGGAAGAAAACAAAGAAAGGAACGAAAGAAGGAAGAGAGGAATGAATGTAGGAATGAGTGAAAAAGGAAGAAAAGAAGGAAGGGAGAAAGAAAGAAAAGAATAAAGAATAAAGAAGGAAGGGAGAAAGAAAGGAAAGAATAAAGAAGAGAATGGTCAACAGTCCAGTCCAGACTTTGTTATATTCTGAAAATTCTCCTAATCCAGATTTGATGGTCGTCTGTCACAGACCTTGGTCCAATCCACCAACCAGCATTACGTCAGGACTTAGAGCAGAGCAGTCAATAATAATCACGTTGGCTTCTGACTTGGACCTTCGTTGTTTTCTGAGTATGCTTCAGTTGATTCATATTTGGAAAAACCGAAACAACAAAGATTAAAAAGGATTATAGAGAAGAAGCCAAACAGCTTAATAACAAAGTCCTGGCTCCACATTTTGGTCACGGTCGTCGATCAGTCCCTGAACCTCAGACAGACCCCAAACCAAATAAACATTGTTGTGATGATCTTTTCATTTGAACACACTCTCCCCTCAGTTTATCGGGCTGCACTGCTAACAACCGCGTTCCAGCAGCTGATCCACTGCACCACCTGCCTGCTTAGTGGCCATTACTGTCAGGTCCCTGCAGTCAAAGACACAACTCTACAATATTTGTGTTTTATCTATTTTGACACAAAAATTGGCACCCAGGCCCGCTGTTGTCTGAGGCATCGCAATTGGGTCCAGCCTGCACCATGTGTGCGTCTGGAGCAACAAAGAGTCCGTGTCTGCCTCTAACCGACTCCAAATGCGTCCCCCTCTCATCTCCACACACGCTGGGTCTAATTTATGGCTGCGATTTCATCTGCTTCTGTTCAGCCCCCCGGTCAGATCTGTGGAAACGGTTTTGGCAACATGTCAGAGAGAATAAACAGACATCGCACACGAGGGGAGCGGTCAGCCTGATTTGGCCTCATGTTAGCCATCTGTCCCTGTGTCCACTTTGACCTCAACTTCTTCCTGTATGCTCCACACAGCATCGAAGAGAAAGGTCCGACAACTGAGAACTGAGAACTGAGAACTGAGTGCAGGGGAGATCGAAGCCTCGGAATCCTTGCGGTGAACACAGTCAGGACTGCAGATTGGCAACGACAAACAGTTGAAATTATTTGGCTCTAATCATATTTATTTTTCTCACATGCACGATTTGTTCATTTTGCACCAATTTCTAATCATATTTATTTTTCTCACATGCTCATTTGTTCATTTTGCACCAATTAGGGTTAACAGAGGAGCCAATCCCCCTAGAGGTAACAGAGGAGCCAATCCCCCCAAAAAAAGATAATTAGACAGGAATTGGCCACTGTGTAGGATTGTCAGTCAGTTTAGAGCAGCGAACTCAAACACCTGACCCTGCAAGAACAGAGTTCTGGTCCAATCTGCCTGCTGTAATTTCACACAACGTTACATTAATTTACATTACAGTTGTCCTGATAGTTTTTTTATTTTCAAACCGATTCAAGTATTTGAACTCGTGTACTGGCCTGTACCAGTACTGATACTGATACTTCCAAAAGTAGTTGCATCGAGGGCAACTGGACGGAGAAGGTTTCTTGAAGACGTTTCACCTCTCATTCCAAAATGAAAATACTGCCAACTTCTATTGTGTTGCTCAGACAAAGTCAACAGCTTCTCGTTTTAATAAGGCAGGGGCCTCCGCTTTGAAATTGGAGTCACATATAACCAGGAGGTCTCCTACAGCAGGACGGCTACGGTTTTCTTGTAAGGCTCCCAAAGAAAAGAGAAACAAAACTAAATGGTCCACAGATGAGGCCAGGAGCTGCAGAGGACACAGGTTTACTCTGAACCAAGAACCAGTAGGGGGCACACAGCAATGGAAGCTCACGGCAACGAAAAGAGGATTTCAGAAAATAAAGATAAAGATGGTTTAAGAAGTAAATTGATACATGGCACGATTCATTTTCGAGTCACAGGCCTGGCCTTTTAAACACGAGTAAACATAAAATACGACTCGGGAGAAATTCCATGTGACTTCTTAGCAAGGTCGATACTAGAAAAGAGCACTTCACAGGATGTGTGATATGATCATTTTTGCAACTTCAATCGTTTCTAACGTGAACATGATCTATGACAGTTGAGAATGTCTCACCTCTGACAAAGACGTAAACGCTGACCGCTGTAGTTCCGTCGATAACGGCCTTCACGTCTTTGTAATAGCATCGATAGTAGCCCGTGTCCACGGTCCGCGCTCTGTTCAGGACCAGCCTCTTACAGTAGGGCCACCCAGGTCGCCCTCGACACTCTCGGACCAACATGGACGTCTGGTCTGGGTCTCTGGTGCTCGACGGTTGGGCTTGACGGTTGGCTAGCTCCTGTCCCGCCAAAGTCTGATCGGGCCACGTCCAGGCCAGAGTGCGTTGTCCCCTGTGTTCAACCAGAGAACATGGAACAGATTTGACGTCCAAATGAGAATCAAAATGATAAATTAGCAGTAATTTCGTTAATGAAAGGGGAAAATTGCAGAGTCGCTTTCAATTCTCTTCATAAAATAACATCAGTTGATTACAATAAATCCACATGGCTAAATATTGGCGCACATATTATTATCGTTTTAATTTAATGGAAACGTTTGGCAGTTTTTTTGTATTTGTGTGTGTGTGTCCGTGCTCTGCCTCATTATTTCACTTATGGGCCGACGTAATAACTGTCAGGGTTTATGTGTGCGCTAGAGTCATGGCTGTCTGAAACATGATAGCTGTGCTCTCACCTCCTGCCTCTCTGTTTCAGACTGGGCCAGAAATGACTGGAAATAATTGTGAAGCATCACTTAGGGCCACGGCGGCGGTGGTGGGTGTGTTAAAAGGTTTCTAGCCCCTGTGAATAGTGTCTAATAATAACACGTGTAAATTGTAGGGACAAGAACGAGACTGACTTCATCTCCCAGGAGAAGATGGTTGCTGATAATGTAAGGTTTTCCTGTACAGAGCTATTAAACACAGGTGTGAGGGGAGTTTTGGGGTCAGACAGATGGTAAACATGATAATGGAGACCAGCTCGGCAGTGGGCAGCGCAGCAGGGATATTGAGGATAAGCCTCGGTTGTTATGAAACATTTAAGGCCAGTCACTCTGTTGCCTCTGCTCTGTCAGGAATGAGTGGGCGCGCTGAACATCAGCCAAATTGCACTAGAAATCCCAAACAATGCTTCATAACCTTTCCAAGGCTGAGTTTTGATTAAGACTAAGTGGAACTGCAGGCGCTGGCAGCAACAGAATAAAACATGAACTGAAGAAATACTGGGCCTTATAGGCCACCATCTGGGCTTTGATGAAAAAGCTTTTTTTTGTCCTTGTGAATTGTTTGTGTCTAATGTGAGACATTTGTTTAACTGCAAATGGTTCGTGGCACTCTGTGGTCTAGACCAGCAGTTTTTTTTTGTACCAAGGACTGATCGGCCAGTATCAGCCGTTACTGTGGACTGGTAATACCACGTCATTGTTGAAGGATCATTAAAGTTTCTAAATTAAACATCTTTTAGACTTTCTTCTGTTGGTATCACAGTCTGAATGACCTGTCGTTCTGAAACATTGACAGAATGAATGAAAAAAGTAAAGGGTAATGACTGGATTCTCTTAGAATGAAGTAATTTAGTAAAACTGAAGTGCATTTTCTCACGGTGCCTTATGACCTACTGACCGGCACCGGTCCACAAACCAGGTGTCGGGGACTCCTGATCTGTGCAGTGGAAAATTATCAAATTTCAATTAGGTCCGAAACCTAATATTTATTTTTTTTCGAACAATTAAATACTCTTCACTAGGTGGCAGCAGATGGCTATGAAAACTAAAAACAATCAGAGCTGTTGAAGAAGATCTTTGTGTCTTTCTTCAATTCCTGTCAGTATATCAGTGTTGTCTTCAACTAAACAGGAGTATATATTTAGTAAATATAAACCAGAATGTTATTATATTTCATTACATATACTTTTTGTGAGATTTCTGTTAGGTAGTGTGCTGTGGGGTTTTTCTTGATGATATACATGTGCCATGGCTCAAAAATGGTTGGAGACCACTGATCTTGACGACTGATTTCACCGCAAATCTGCCACAAATCTGCCTCCATGCTGTCTTTCCAAAGACACGCCCTCTCACACTGTCTGACTCTCACGTTCAGGGAACAGCGAAATTTGGACATTGACAAAACATTAACCTTTCTCTTCATTTGCTAGTTCGAGTCCTGTACCCTGACAAAAAAATAGAAAATGGTCCAGTGTTGTGAAAATGTTTGGCAATGATGATGACGATGATCTCTGATACAGAGCCAGGACCATAAGCACGGACAAGTCAATCTATGCGGACCACCATCACACCCACCCCCATAACAACGACTACCATATGGTTCCAGGTACTTCCTTGGACGTAAGGTACATAAGTCAATTTGTCCCAGTCACCATCTGTCCCTGTGATGTGTGTACGTGGGTGAAGCTGCTGTGTGTGTTTCACAACGTTCAACTCCTGACGTGATTTACTGTGAATAATTTAATATCTGCTGCCTGTAAAACAAATTGCCCTTCAGGGTAATAACATGGTTTTTTGAGTAATATGTTTTAAACTGTTGTTTTTATGAGTTATCTTTTCGCTAATGTTAAGCTTTGTTGATGTTAGCTTTTAGAAATGACTGGGATTAAGTGCACTTTATTGTCTTTTTTTGTGGCCTGTGTTATTGTTAGCACCATCTCTTCCTACTTTAATTTGTTTTTGTTTTATGAATTAATTTCTCTAGTCTTTTCTTAGCTAAATGTCATCCTAAGCTTTTGTTCACTTATTGTCAAAATGTTACATAAAACAATATTATTACCATTATTACAGTAGATAATTAAATAGGTATTTCTGCGTTGTGATTTCACTCTATCCATTTTATGAGCCATTAAGAGCCACATTATGTTAATTTTATGGGGCAATTTCATTGATATTTTGCGGCAATTGTAATAATTTGTGACTAAAACATGAGCAACACAAAGGTCAAAGAAGAGAGAGAACAAGAGAGAGAGAGAGAGAGAGAAGGTACCTGCATGTTAATGTGAGTGTCTGGAAGACAGGAATCACAACGTCGCCTCTGGAGCTGTCGATGATGGGCGGGGTCATGGAAAAGCTGGTCACCAGACCTGATGGAGGGAGCAACACGGCAACTGCATTAGACTGGTGTTACAGTGATGGACGAGAGACATTAGATCGGTGCTAATAGAAGTGAAAGTGAACTATTTGTCATGATGACCTCTGCTTTTAACCCATTACCAAAGTGATCAGCTCAAGGGCCCAGGAACAGTGAGTGAGGACGGTGCCGTGCTCAGAGCACCTCAGTGACAACTTGATGGACTCGAACCTGAAACCTTCCCAACTCCGTTTCCTTAACCGCTAAGCCACCACTGCCCAATCACACACGACAGCAGCTCAAATAGTTAACGACTTGTTGAGAACATTTCTACCCAGAGTCTCGTGCCCTGTTCGTCTGAGTTTGCCCTTCATTCACTCCACCTGTATTTATTCACACCACCAGCTCCTGCTCAGTGGATACGACCGGCTCTGAACGTCTCCTCAGGGTGTGATTACCGCTCAGCCAGAGTGCACTCCTACAGTCTGTCAGACCTATAAACATCGTCACCTAGCCTCGTACTCACCTACATAACAAAACATAAAGAGGAGCAGAGCCAACGAGGAGCGGTCATAATTCACGGCAAGGGCTTTTTCTGTGCTTTGGAAAATGATCATGAATCACGACCATTTTTCTACTTCGCACTTGTTTGTTTTAGACAATGACTCTGAAGAACAGGAGCCGTGAAGTCTCTTTGTTTTTAGCAGAATGCACAAGACAAAGAGCTCAGAGAGACGAACAGGACAACAACTGTTATGGCTGTGAACAGATGTTTTTTCAGCCTCGGCCTCTTTTCTTTTCGGTTTGTTTGTGCTGTAATCATGTTGTTATGAATAAAGAACTGAAAGACATTTGTGAAGCAGCAGAAACCTACTCCGGGCTCCTTTTGTGGATGTGGAAGTGTCAACAAATATTCACTTCTTTTTTTGCAGCCTCTTGTAGGGTCTTGTAGGGTCAGGGAGCAGCAGGTAATTGCCTGAGAGTAAGGCAAAACCTGGACAGGTTGTGAGTCCACTACAGAGCCACATACAGAGACAAACATGTCACTGCGTACAGACTGCACATGGATGTTTCTAGACTATGGGATGGAGACCAGAGAACTCACACCTGAAATAAATCCTGGTATCCCGTGGACTTGGCAAACTCCATACAGAAAGACCAGGAATCGAACTGTTGATCTTATACATTTCTGGGCTAAAATAAATGTGTCTTTTCTAAAATAAAATTTTAAAAAAAAGTTATTTACCATAGTAGTTATTTATTTATATAAATATGTATGTATTATTTATATTTGTAGTTGGGATTTATCTTTAGTTATCTACTCTTTTTATGCTTTCGTTTGACTTCTTTGTCATTTTAGAAATCACTTGATGTTTTTTTTCTTAAAATGTGTGACAATATTGTTAATGGATAAATAACCAATAATCAGCTGTGAGTTGTTACCGAACTGGTCAATTCTATCTCAGGTTGCACAAAGTATCTTACATTATCTTACTGACCGTCATGGGCTACTATTATGTTAATTTTGTGGGCCATTTTTTTTAACTTAAACAAAAACACATGGACACCATAAGGACGAGAGAAAAAAGAGAGCGAGAGACACAGCATTATCTTCGTAGCTGCCAGTGTGCGGTTTTTGTATATGTCAGCAGATCCCTCGAAGGTCATGAAGAATGCTCAACAACAACAATACCCTACGTGAAAACAATACAGTTTTATATTTTGTACCAGAGGCGACATCAGGAATAATGAGCAGTAATGTAGACCTTGGTTTTAACTCCTGCCATTTGTGTCCAGTGATAAAGGCCTCTATAACCCAGCATATACTGTACGTGACTGTGAATACGTTTTATGCCCTTTTGTTATTTACGCTGCACACGATGCAACGGCTGTTTTGGTGTTTATTAGTTTCGCTGATAACACCTCTGCGTTATCTCTTCACTAAGGGCGGCCAAGGAAATGTCCTTCCTGGTTTTTATTCCACGCTGCGATAATAACTTCACAGATATGAACGCAGGGATTACACATTCCTGAGAGGAG